ACTGTCCCTGCACCACATTTGGTACTACATATACCTACTTGTACCACCTACTTTTAAGGACCCGCCCCACCTAAATGGTTCCCTTCCCTATTTCCCCCTCCCTCCGTTTTTACTATACGCGATAGGGGCAAAGGTTGGGCGGGGAAAATAGAGGGGAGGGGAGCAGAGTTATCACTGGTAAAAAGTGAAAAGTGAAAGTGAAAAGTCCAATGGGAAGTCCGCGGACTTACGCCCTTTTCACTGTTCACCAGTGATATGCAGAGCCCGTGTCCTTCACAACCCCTGCGGTGAAAACAATGTCTGATTTTTTGGAGGAAATGGAACTTCAATGAAAGGAACTCCTTCACAACGAGGATGACTCCTCGGATTTTCCTATCAAACTATAAGAGTTTTCCAAAGTTTCCTCTCGCGAGACCATGAGAAAGGCCGTGGTTCAGGGGCGCCTGGTCGACCGCCGACAAACAGACCAACAACATGAATAACTTTTGCCGGTGGGACAGGCACTATGAAAAATAGTTGTTGGTTGGACGTGAAAATTTTCTACGAACGGTGTCGTGAATTTACTCACCCTATTTTGTTAAATAGTAAATACAAAAGATTACCGGGGATCTGTACTGCCACGACGAACTTAGATACGACGAAGAGAAACGTAGCATAAATATTTGTATTAAATACACATCTTGAGTTTTAAAAGCAAGAAGCGAGGAAATACTGAGCTGTAAAGAACACTCACCACCACCATGCATATTAAATAGATTTGAAACGCGAAACATGTCTGAGTGCTGCATCACCCACCAATACGTACTGTACGTAGTAGGCATTTGATTTCGCTCCTCACGCAGACGCTCGTCGAAGGAACCCCCCGACCCCGTCTCGCCCAACCCTTCAGCTCAAGTACCCAACCCTTCCGAATAGCCTGTTGGTAAGCCTCAGGGAAGAGGAGAAGACGGTTCCGAGCTTTGCATTCCAGAGGTGTCTGAAGGGAGGCCCGCTCCACTCCTAAACACAACGGGGAAGAGGGAGGGAGGGAGGGAGGGAGAGAGAGAGAGAGGGAGAGAGAGAGAGAGAGAGAGAGAGAGA